CCCGCGCAACAGCTGGTTGCTTTCTCCTGTCTCCCGCGCAGTGTGTGCCATATTCAAAGCACAGAATTCAGAAGATGAAAATCACGATGGCCTCCTTCTCTGGGTTTTTGGATCCTCCACCTTCCCATTCCCACTCAGCTCTGTCCTCCGCTCCCAGCCCAGAGAGCTCCCTCTTGCCTTGAGTGTGCCCCATGCTGGTTGGCACTGCATTTTTCTGTAATTGTTTGGTGCTACGATGATTTATAGAGATATTAACTTATGTTTTGTTCTCACTGTGATTGCTTTCATTCCCATCCCATTTCAAGGTGGTGGCCAAGCTTGATCCCTCCCATTGCCAGGTTTTGTGTTGCAAGGCATTATGGGACCCATGGCAGTGAGGGGGAAGCAGGGCAAGGGCAAGGAGATGATGCGGGGGACTAACCTGATTGTTGGGGCTGCCTGTCAGGATTTAAGCCCTAGCTGTCGAAGCACTTGGAGATGGAGCCTGGGTGGCAGGTGGTGCTGTGGGTGGAGTCAGGTGAGAATTAGTGGATCTGTGTGGAGGGCAGGATCTCTGTCGGTAGCTCTGAGCATGAAGCCGGGGTCCTGGTCAAAGGCCCGGTTTTGGGGTGGGGCTCACTTTGGAGGGAGTGAGGAAACCAGGAAGATCTTAGAGTGGACATACAGGCCTGGGAGTTACCTGCAGTCCTGGGAAGAGGGGAGGAGGGCAAGGCGGGACTTGGGGCCCGGAAATGGTCCTGCCCCAGCTCCTGTCTCTGGCAGGCTTGCGGGTTGTTATTCCAGGCCATGCTGGCTGGCGGCCTGGAGTCACCGCCGTCATGGTCATTGTAGTTTCAGCCTTGACCCTAGGATGACTGGAAAAGGCTAAGGCCCCCAGGCTATCAGTCAGGACCAATAACTGGTGGGTGTGACTGTTACCCCTACAAACTCGGGTGTGTAAGAAATGCCCCAATGCCTGCGTATCCCCACCCTGCTGGGCTGGTGAAGACTTCTGTCCTGATTCGGGCTGTTCTAGTCCCCTTTCTGCAAAGAGATTCAGCTCTCTCTTCTCACCTCCTGCATCATCTAGGATCAGCCACTTAATGAGCTGATGCTCCCATAGAAACCAGGACAGAGAGTTTCTGCAAGCAGCCTCTATTTCAGGCCCTGGGTACACAAGCTGCCTTTGAGCCAAGGGTGTATTCAGGCCCCGGCCACCTTCTTGCTTGCGGGGGGCGGGGGGTGGGGAGGGGAGGCAGTGAGAAAAGTGTAGCAAGAACAAAATGCAGGTTAAGGTTTCCATAAATTGCTTTGTAACCCAGCATTAGGCATTCTGGACATAATGATAGGAGTTTCATAAATTCATGCCAGTTGATTGATAAGTCAGGCTCCCCCGCCAAAAAAAATCCTCTAAAATTACAGAAAAAGGAAGCCTTGCGTGTGTGTGGTTTTGTTGTTGTTGTTATTTTGTTTTGTTTTGGCGAGCGGAAGACCTGAGAGTCTGAAATGCTATTTACAGAGATTGAATTCAACTTGTGCTGCCCAGAACTGTCTTAGAGACTATGGGTTGGTTAAAAGGTTTATAATTAAGTTATCACTGCATCATCATTTTGGGTTCCAAAACTGAGAGATCTTCAGCCCCCTCTCCCCTCAAAACCCCCTCAAATCTACCACTAAATTACAGTCAGCCCAACATTGATTTAAAAGAACAGCATGAAATCATTTATCAGGCATCGAGCCCAACAAATCTGAGCCGTTTATTCCTTAGTCCTTTAATAGCTAATTACATGCTGCATAATGTAAAAATGCAGCAAGGCCCCATTAAGAATAAATCCAATTGTTTGCAAGGCACATTATAGAAATGCAAGTTTGGCATTCTCCCACGGTCTGTGACTGTTCTCGGCAAGTGAAAAACCTGGAAATAGAACCACTGTTTTTATAACAACCCTATTGCCTTTAATGACCCTGTTACCTTTAATGACCATTTTCTCCTCTTAAGTTCAGCAAAGTGTGGAAATATCGCTGTGCTCTTTGGTGCAATTTTCCTACTGTAATTTTTTTTTTTTGTCCTTAAAAGCCCCGAGAAAGTGCATTTTTCTATGTACTTATTTGCTACTGTCAAAAGAGAGCAAAATTCATGGAAAAACTCAACTGTCAATTGCCAACAAATATGCAATTATTTCAGGCTCGTGTTTTAAGCAAAAATGGTTTTCGTGGCAGAAACTTGCTTCTGTTTTGCGAACAGGGATGAGGTCTGTTTTTGCTTCTCGTCGTTCCACTTTCTCTGGGCATCTCCTGGGAACACCTGTTTTAACACACACAGGTGAATTTCCACTAGCTGGGCCGGGACGTTCGGCTGAATTAAATGCCCACTTTGGTGCCCTGTTGTGCATCCCTTAGTGACGGGGGAGCACAAAGTCATTTTGTTTCCTATCTCATAAAGCCTATCATTCCAGGACATTACACCAGGACGCTGGGCGGTAAGTGACGTCAGGGATTGGAAGGGAGGAGAAAATAGATGATCCTGTCCCCACAATAATACAGGGAAGATATATAAAGGGAAGTAAGTAGTAATATTCTTGAAAGATAAACAATTGACTGGCTGTCACAAATAACTGATGACTGAGATCCTAAAGAATGTGGCCATGATAAAAAATACATCTAGAAGTGCACACACACGTATTCTCCTGACATGTCATCGCTGTCCTCTTTGCGGGATCAAATTAGAAATACTGTTTGCTAAAGGCAATATTCTCCACTCCAGGCTTGTGAAAGCTGAGCTCCTCGTCTCCCAGGAACGCTCTGTTTGACTTTCATCTTGATATTGAATTTAAGCCTCATATTTTATGATGAGTACATGCAGCCCTTGGCCCACCTGGTAATGACTACTGCCTCCGCACTGGAAGTCTCATTCACCACCGGGGCTAGGAGCAGACTCATCTGATGACTTGGACTTCGGTATTAATTAACTGAAATCTTTCTCTGGTTTGAACAGCCCTTTACAGAATTCTTCCTGAAGCGCATTCGCTTGCTTTGCTGTGTTGCCTGAGTTAAGAATTCATCATGGACAACTTGAATCCCTGAAGGCGAGAGGCTTCCTGTGGTTCTGCATGACAGAGAGGGCCATACCAAGATCAGCAGGTGGGAGCTGCCGGGTTCCCAATGTCAGTTCCCCAGGGGGTGACCTCCCTATCCCAAAGAGCTCCCCGGGAATAGCAAAGCTGGGCTGCTTGGGAGGTGGGTAATGAGTCCTGCATCATGGGGGAACCATTGATGGGGCTGGACGAACTCTTGGAAGGGCTGCTTATCAATTGGCATCACCGAATCACACAACCCATGGTGACACCGTGACCCACCCATATCCCCTCATCCTCATCACGTTCGTGCAGGTAGACCTGACTTCCAGCCATTGGCGCCCGAGAGCGTTTTCGTGCCACTTGCTCATGCTGTTCTTGCTGGAAAGGCTGGAGAAGTAATGCCCCCGACGCCTGTGGCCTTCAACCAGTGACTGGCGGGTGTACATACTCCAGCTCTCTCAGCCTTTGGGTGGGCTAACTCTGGGGTTTGTGTCTCCATTGGCTCCCAAAGGTTCCCCAGGGGGTTAAGCTCCTGTTACCTACAGAGGTAGCTGGCCTCCTAAAGCACCATGTGCTGGGTTAGGGATGCTCCCTTCTCTGTCTCCCTTCCCCGGCGTCTACTCTCCTGTCCTTTCCGTCCCAAATGCACGGCATGGTCTTATCTCAGGGTCCGCTTCTGGGGGAGCCCCAACTAAGAGAATGACTGTTCGTTCTAGACAACGATGCCTGACAATGGGGCGTATTTGAAATCGGGACTGGAGAACATGGTCCGGAACTACCAAGCCCCATATTGTGAGGGGCCTTCTCAGCCCCGAGAGGAACAGAAATAAATCCATATCTGCTGTCCCGGCGCCATTTGCATTTTCGCAACTGGGCCCCTGTTGGCCCCACCATCTGTCCCGCTGTGGTCTGCCCTCTGCCGTCACACCTGTGTCCCAGGAGATGCTGCCCCGGCCTTGTTTCTTAGGACCCTTCTCCATCTTACACCTCTATTGCTTCAGAACGAGGATCCCACGCTTGGCACCACACACCTTCTGGTTGCTGTGCGCCAACTTCCTGTTCTCGGACGTTCCTGAGAGTGAACCTTTGCCACTCAGGCTTTCTCTTGCCATCATTTCTGGCCATCTCCCATTCAGTTGCCAGGTCGCAAGGCCAAAGAAGCACTGTTCTGAATGTCGACTTTTATTTTTTGTTGTACGTTTAAGGACAGAAGCGTTAGGAGACTGAGGTGAATGTGTCCTGGCCTCCACTGGACGTGAATACATTTAGATTTCGTGGTGTTTGCCTTCTTATCTAAAAGCGCAGGGTACGAGTCTTAGAAGTCTGGTTAATTGACGCTTCTCAGTGCTGAACATCCGTGAGTTCCCACGTTCTAAGTCTGAGGATGTTTCTGTGTGTATGAACGTCATGGGCGATGCTTGTCTCTGCGTGTTTGCGTAGCACAAACAGCCCCGAGTCAGCTTATCTATCGTTCAAGAACTGGGGGAGAAACTCGAATCAAACACAGTAGGTCAACGGTAAATGCCGTGTGACGTTGCAGGTAGCGCTCAGAGCCTCGCCACTAAAATGTTCGGGTGGCACGTTTCTGGCTGTTTCTGCCCTCCTTCCGTGGTACCCAAAGCGGGCCTCCTTCACTTCTGGTACATTAGAGTGGGAAGAACTAACTTGTTCACGTCATGATTTACGGCCCTTTAAATGTCCCCCTCATTCTAGGCTGGAAGAGGACCAATTTCTCCTACGAGCTAGTTAGTCTCTCCCACGTGATGTGCCTTGCCTGTCCCCCAAGAGTCCTACTGGAGGCGTGGACTTCAGCATATTGACACCGTCCTGGGGAGGGGGGCGGCCCTTCGTTTCCGGTAGTTGGGACGAAGGTTTCTTTAGTCATTGGGTAGAAGGTGTGCAGGGGGCTGGTGGTTTAGACCTGTAAACACAGCATAAAAGGACATGTAAAAAATCCCTTCCCTCCAAGGCAACTCTTTCCTTTTGTGTGTGTGTGTGTGTGTTGTTGGGCTGACCCCATGTCAAACATGGCCTTTTCTCTTCACATCCTATCAGAAACGATTTTCCATGTTTCTATAGCAACTTCACAGTGGTTCATTTAATGGCTGCAAAATCTCAGTGTGCTGATTACCCCCACTTCTTGGAGGTAATTGAGGGGGATTCCAGTCTTGGGCTACTGTAATGAACATCTTCACGATGAAAACTTTTGCTTTGATTTAATACTCCCTAACCAAGTAGTCTAGGAGGAGAAGTATTGGGCCAATCAGTGAAGATGTTCCTCTGGCTTTCGATAAGCATCTCTACATTGCTTTCTAAAAGGGCAATGTACTCTGTGAGTCAGTGTACTCTGCCATCCCAGTGGGTGCTATGCAGCCTGTTAGACCCACGTGTGCAGAAAACAGCCTATAAGGATCCCCAGCTCCCTCTTCTTAAAAATCATCTCTATCCTCTTGAGGAAGAGTTAGAAATGTCATCTTCAACCAAAAAACCCTGGCGTTACAGGCTACCTCACAGAGACCCGCAGTGCTCCCAAAGGGTGAATGGCGACGGCCATGACATGCCCTTGGGCCCGAGGCACTGGCTGGCCTCTCACGTGCATTATCTGCTTAGTTCTTATAACAGCTCTCCAAGGTTGGCATTTATTATCCCCGCTTAAAGATGAGAAAACCGAGTCTCAGAGAGGAAAGTAACTTGCTTCGGATGTCAGAGCCAGAATCGGAATTTTGGTCTACCTTGTTTTATAGAAACAAAAAATTATGATGTTAGGCTATTTAAATGTGTGGATGAAGGAAATACCACGAAGGTCATTGTCAGCTTCAGTGCATCTTTGAGAACAAGGACTGGGGCTGCGGCTGTGGGGCTGAGACAGGCTGAGGGTCAGCCTGGACCAAATTCAGTCTAGACCTACAAGCTGAGGTGAAAAAGAGATTCATGGGCACATCGTCACAGAGTATGGCTGACCAGGGCAGGGCAACATCAGCTAATAATTCGCAAGTGCTGTAGTGCTAAGTGAATCTCTAATTGGTGAAGTTTACCTAGTTTGGGGAGTGAGGGAAGGCTTCCTGGAGGAGGTGGTGTTTCAGCTGCAATTCAAAGGATAACATTAACTAGAAGAGAGGGGTGAGAGAGATGGGGAGACCATTCTAGCAAGGGGAAGAGTGTGTGCAAAGGCCCTGTGGCTGGGGAGAACTTGGCACTTGAGAAACTGAGAGAAGGCTTGTGTGGCTGCCGTGCAAAGCGGGCAGCCTGGTGTCCTCATTGGTACCGGCTTCCAGAGGTAGGAAGTGCAGGGGCCGCAGGTGGTGATAAAAGCCCAGGCTGGGAGGGTGAGTCATTGGAGAGCACGTTACACACAGTCCTCTGGCTTCCCCAAACTCGTTTCCACCCTTTTTCCAGTTCAGGAGGTTGGAGAGCTGAACGCCAGGTTCCCTGACAGCTAGCATTCTGGACGCGAATCAGGGCCTGCCAATTGGACACAGGTGTGCAAGATTTAGACAGGAGTAGCGTGGCAGAGGCCTCCTTTTTGCCCCGTTAGGCTGTTTTCTGATGATGAGGTCGTGGAAATGTGAGGATTTCTGCAGTCGTGTTGCGAAGCCCATGCTCTAGCCTCCTGGTTCTGCGGAGGTCATTGTGGAGGCCACAGCAACAGCAGCGGTGACCTCACAGGGCAAAGGTCCCTTGGTGGGTCAGTTCTGTTTGTGTGGGAGTCATTCCTGGAGGCCAGCCTCGAATGACTCCTCTAGCCCTTCCCCTAAAGTGAGGGTCTAATTCCCGGTCTAATTCCTGGAAGTCTCTTCCAGGTAAAATGCTACAGGGGATGCTGCCGAAGCTCCATCCCCATAGCACCTGGGCTCACCTGCAGCTGAGGCACAGTTCCCAGCTTCCCCCGCTGAAGTGCCTGGGCCCACCTTGTTCTCTGATTGAGGGCTTTTCCCGTTCCTCATTCGTTCTGCTAAGTGCAGGCAGGGGCTGTCCGCAGGGAGAAAGGCGTTCACGTCCCGGGCGACTTTCAGCCAGTGGGCGGTGGGATTCGTCAGGCAAGTGCCCAGCTTGCTGTCCCTGGGGGAGGATTCCAGGACACGTGCCACGTGATTTCTCAGAGGGTCCCCAGTGAGACTCACAGTGGGACCCACTCGTTACTACACCCTTTATTCTTCTCCCTATTCTGTGTCATTTTCCCCACTTCCTCACTTGCATTTCATGAGGTCACCTCCCAAGCAAACCACCTACACCTCAACCCTTACTCCAGGGTCTCCTTTGACTCAAGCCAAGGCCAATAAATACCTATTGTAGTTTATTCTGATTACTTTTTTGTATGTTCCAAATCTGACTAGGAGAGAGAGGCACGAAAGACTAATTTACAGACCCAGATATTGACACTTTTTAACCAAGTCAAACGTATGCCAGGCAATCACATCATTTTCAGCCTCTTAGTAACAAGACTGGTATCCTAACACATTAAAATGAACTGGAGTTGTGTATCCATGCATCCATCTCTTCATCCGGCTAGCCAGCCAGCAGTCATTTAGCAAACCTCTGCTCATGCCCAGCATTGTGCTAGCATTTGAGGAGAGAGAAACTAATTAGACTGCCTGCCTCGTTACACTAGGTGTGATTAGATCCTACGGCACCTGTGCTTCTGCCATTTTGAATGCCACTCTGTTTCCTGCACACAATGCCGTTAGCTCGGCCATATAAACTCAACACTAATGCCAGCTAGTGGTCTTATCTTATAAACATCCTAATCATAACATTTCATCTACCCTGAAAAGTGTCTCCAACATTCCAACCGCGTCTCTATTTTATTAAAACGCACTGTATTAAGACACTGCTTCTCAGGAACTAAATTTAGTTTGAGAAACTGCCCTGAACTTGGAGTCATTAAATGTAGCCTTTTTTTCTACGTGTATATGACAGAGAAAAATTCTAGCCAGCAGTGTCTATATTGAAAATCCTGCATTAGATTGCCATCAGTTGCTAATAATACATCATAATTATTCTTATAGGGTTAAGCTTTTCTCTTTTCTCTT